TCAAAAGGTACTCTATCCTATTCTACCACACTTAAGGACTTAGACGACGCTATCCTTAGAAGTGTTTACAACAGTTTCAATATGAAACAAATTTCTAGCCTCCAACTAAAAACTAAACTTTCTGAGTTTATCAATGAGGATTTCTGTTCTAGAAGGTTTAGTGAAGCATGAGTCTAAGCAGAGAGCAGAATTTAATGAACACTTTCTCTTTTGCTGGATATCTTCTTTGTGTAGTATGATTTTTCTGCTTAGTGAACTCAGGAGCTTGTTTTTCTTCTCATGCTTATGCCTGAATTTATAGGCATCTCTGGTTGATTAATCTCCTCCGTTGGTTGAGAGGTTTTAATCTTTGTCGTTGAGGCTTCTTGTACTTTCGTCTTCTTGTGTTGGAGCAGCTTATCTTCAGACGCAATTGGATCAACTTGCTTCGTAGGAAATGTAAACCCATTCCTTGGGTCTTTTATGCACTATTCACCATCTAGTGGGGTTTTGTCTTCATAGGCAACTCTGGAGTGTCTCGTGATTATACAGCTAACCAAGTAAATTTGTGACTTTGGTCCTTGTGTACAAAATTAATTCATACTGGTAGGATTTTAAATATCCTTTTTAAGGTAAAGAAGGATTTACCTTATTGCATTTTATATTTCCAATATGATTAATTTTGTACATAAGATGTACATGTAAGATTAGTCACAATTTTACTAGTGACAATAATAAATTTGTAACACAAATAAATATAATGATTGGATTTGAATATCCTTGAAAGGTAGGGATTTACCTTATTGCATTTTATATTTCCAGTATATTTATTTTGTGACACAATTTATACATTCCTAATTTTGTCACCTTCCTTTTTGGACCATACTTCAGTTCACACAATGATCATTCAATATTGAATAGAAAATCTAAACATCAAGGGAGGATGGCATCATCAAAACTGTATTTTATCAAAGTCTGAGGGGCCTAACATATTCTCCTGTGACAAGAATAAATTTCATTAAAATGATACTAGCAATTGCCGTTTTGCGGAAATTGGAAGTTCATCAAATGGACGTAAAAACCGCTTTTCTAAATGGTTATATAGACGAAGAAATCTATATGAAACAACATGAGGGCTTTCGTGTTCCTGGCTAAGAAAGGAAAGTTTGTAAATTAATTAAATCATTGTATGGATTGAAACAAGCCCCTAAACAGTAGCACAAAAAGTTCGACCATGCAATGTTAATTAATGGTTTTAAAATAAACCAAAGTGACAAATGCGTCTATGTGAAAAGCACGGTAGATGGCTATGTCATTTTATGTTTATACGGGGATGATATATTCATCGTGGGTAGGAATAATCTAATGATTAATTCTACCAAAAGCATGTTAAATTCTAAATTTGAAATGAAGGATATGGGTTGGCCGATTTAATCCGTGGGATTAAAATAATTAGAGGACCTGATGGTCATACGTTAAGCCAATCTCATTACGTTGATAAAATCTTTACTAAATTTAATAAGGATGATTATCAAGAGGCAAAGACGCCATTAGATAAAAACGTACATCTTACCAAAAATCGTGGAGAGTGTATTTCTCAAGTAGAATACGCTAGGGTTATTGGAAGTTTAATGTATCTAATGAGTTGTATCAGGCCTGATATTGCCTTTGTGGTTAGTAAGCTTAGTAGATATACTAGCAACCCGGTGATGAACACTGGAAGGCAATAGCAAGGGTTTTGGGGTATTTTCAGAAAACCCAAAACCTTGGACTGCACTATGGAAGATATCTAGCCGTACTTGAAGGGTATAGCGACGCTAGTTGGATACCTGACATTAAGGACTCAAAGTCCACTCGTGGATATGTTTTCACTTTGGGAGGTGCAGCCGTGTCATGGAAATCCTCGAAAAAACGGTAATAGCTAGATCCACGATGGAATCTGAGCTAATAGCCTTGGATAAGTGCACTGAAGAGGCTGAATGGCTACGCCATTTTCTCGAGGATATTCCAAGTTGAGAGAAGCTTGTCCCTCCAATATACATACATTGTGATTGTCAAGCGGCAATTGGAAGGCCACAGAGCAACTTATATAATGGTAAGTCTAGACACGTTCGTCGTAGACATAACACCATTAAACAACTTCTCACAACGGGTGTTATCATTGTTGACTACGTGAAGCCAAAGGATAACATAGCGGATCCGCTAACCAAGGCATTGGATAGAGAATTGTTGGAGAAATTGTTACGAGGAATGGGACTAAAGCCCGTGAATTAAAAAGTTCTATAATGGATACCCAACCTAGTTTCAAAAGGGACAACTAAATTATAGAGCGAAGGATGGTCACTATGGGGGTCCCGAACTCCTACCCACTTCTTGTTGAAACAGTGACTCCCGCACGAGGTTAGCAAAAACGTTTGCTTTAATGAATTTGAAATGTTGATCTACTCGATAACATTGGAAGAGTATGCGGGATACTCGTGAAAGAATCACCTATGTGAGAGAGAGAAGAGGGTCGCTTCAAAGGAGAACTGTAAAGGCCCAGTTCTTTAGAAACTCCTGCAGAACCAGGACGGTGACCCATGGCCTAAACGGGCACACCCATGAGAACGGAACAAAGTTGGAGGGTTCCTATGTAAAGATAAGTCAATGTTTACATGACGACAGTATAGTTCAAGGACATCGAGTCTACTAGACAGCCAGTAAATAAACGTGTCTTTACAGCGGAATGTTCAAAGGATTAAACCTACCTCTACGTATGCAGGGATCATCCGGTGAACACAACATGCCCTCCTATCTCCGTGTCTTTTTTAAGTCTCGAAAATCAATTTTCATTCATGTGGGGGATTTTTGGAAAATGTGTTAATATATTGCATTAAATGGTCATCTTGGGGCAATTTTTTGAGTGGGGTCCGCTTCCGATTTGGGTCGGTTCAAAGTGGTTTTGGATTGTCCTTTCTTAGAGCTACAATTTGATATATGGTACGCTCAAAACGGATAACAGGTGAATGAAAAATCGATTCTCGAAGTTCACTCGTTGAAATGGAGAAAAACTAGGAAAATGTGGGTTTCTAGTGTGGTTTTTCCCCACACCGGAAACCCCAAGGGAATTTGAACCCTTTATAAAGGGAAACCCCCTTAAGGAGTTAAGATTCCTTATGGTAAAGGCTCTATCACGCGCGCAGGGGGGTGCGAATCAAATCCCGAAACCGGAGAACAAAAAGCGCAACTTGCATGCGCGAGCGACCTGCGGACACGAATGTCGTCCGAAAATCTATCTTCTAAAGATAACATTAATTTATGTTCTTCCGGTACGTTCCTATTTTATTTTTGCTACATGCTGAACTAAAACGTTGCAGCATAAATGCCCAACGTTCATATTTGTCTTAATGCAGCTCTGGATAGTAATGCCAGCTTGTTGGACATTGATGTCCAACGTTCTGGACATAGATGGTCCAACGGTCATGGCTGTCCAAACGTTTTAACCCATGCAATCCACCCCTATCAAAGGCTGGCAGATGGTTTGCAACAAAAACAACGCACAATACACTTCCTTCACGTATTTTCAGAGCTAAAAACACCTCCATCATTCCTGAAAAACTCCTTTGTGTTCTGCCTTTTTTCACGTTCGTTGGAACATTAGTTTGAGTGCTAAACTATTATTCGTAGTCATCGTATCTTGGGAAATGATCGTTGCAACGCTCCTAGCACCCCGAGAGGCAACGAATACGTTTTAAGGAAATCAGATGGTTTTATGAATCACTTTTTCATGTTTGGGAGTTTAAGAAATTGAAGGAGATGGTTTTGGAGGGCTTTTGTAACCCTCCAAAACGCTCTAAATGCTCAATTTTTAAGTTGCTCTAATTTGGAGGGTTTTGAAGGGTAATTAAGGAAATGATAATTTAAGCTTAATTTAAAGTGAATATCAATTAAATTATTTGAATTTGTCATATCCTAAGGTGATTTTAATTAGAGAAAAGAGTCAAATAAGGATTTCTACTATTACGGAACCGTCACATAAGGTCATGTACTCAATAAAGTGTCATATTAATACGCCTACTTATAAAAATCAATCGAATGAGTCCAAACGACCTGTTGACAACCTTTTAATCTCAATTTTAGCTTACGTGTCATTATTTTTGTCTTGTATTTAAGCCAATCTTGGCCAAATGTTTCACGTCAGCTTAACTTTATAATTTATTTTAAAAAGATAGTTAAACGTACGCTAAAATCGGAATTATGAGGTTGCCAACGGGTCATTTTGACTCATCTCATTGCTTTTTATAAGTAGATTTATTTATATGACACTTTATTGAGTACATGACTTTATGTGACTATTTCGTGATAGTAGAGGGACTTATTTGACTCTTTTCTCTTTTAATTATAATTCTTTCAAAGACTCTCTTTTTCCAAATTTATTACTCACAAATACAATGAAGTGTTTCCTCACCTTCCCCTCTCATTCTCTCCAAACTCCCAAACATACCCTAAGTTTCCTGGAAGTAGGGAATAGTTTTTTCCCGTGCAAATGAATTAATCAAGAAATAATGGACAAGAATAATCCGAACAATTAGTGGTCTGCTTGAAATAATTCAAAATATCAATTATCTCAAAATAATCTCAACTAATGAAAAATCTTTTCAAAATACTCCACTTACTCATAAATATTACTTCCTTTGTCCCATTTTATCTGTCTTACTTTCCTTTTTGGGTTGTCCCAAAATAAGTGTCACATTTCCCTTTTTGGAAAGAAAAATGTGGTTTACAACATTTCACAACCACAACTTCTATCTTTTCAATCACTTTATTAAAAATTATACCAAAATTAAAGATTATGCCAAAACTAAAGGAGACACGTAAAATGGGACGGAAGTAGTATAAGTTATTTATGGATAATTATAAGTCACCGGATTATTTTGAGAAATTTTTTTAATAGTTAAGATTATTTTAAGATAATTGATACTTTAAATTATTTCGACCACATCACTAATTATTAATTATTCTTGTGCATTTTTTCATTAATCAATTTTGATCAATTTATTTGGGAGTGACCGAGGGAAGCGGCAAACCTGCAAGTCGGCAACCATCTCTTCAGACATCTGCTCAGCCAGCAAAATTCTGCAACAATAACCTTTCGTTGACTCGTCAGCAGGCAGCCAGGCATGGCTATGGAAATAGATTCAGCAAAACCGATACAAATCAAAGACGATGACCTGTTCAAGGCCGCTGAATCAGGTGATTCCGAGCTTTTCAAATCTCTCTCCGAAGACCAGCTTGTCAAAGCCCTTTCTCTCCGCAACGAAGATCGCCGCTCTCTTCTTCACGTCGCTGTCTCTTCAGCCCACGCTGAGGTCCCTTATTTTAGTTCCGCATTTTCCATCATTTATGCTCCGTAGTAAGTTATTATTTTTATTATCTTTGTTTCGAAGTCGAAGCGGAATATATTACAGTTGTATTTTCCTTACGGCTACAAATATAATCTGTAGAGTTACAACTGTATATGAGAAATGGAGTTATATTTAGTTGGCCATACAGCTTGTACAGATTGGATGCGAACAGTTCTATGATGTGAAGGGTTTTGTTTGTTAAATGCAGATAATAGGCGGCCTTCAGATTACCTTTTCGTTTTCATAAAGCCAATTCTTTTTGTAACGGAAAACTAGAATTTTGAAAGTTTTTATGCTTTTTGTCTGAATTGTTAACCCTGGTTGTTTAAGACCAACCTCATTGTGTGGATTAATCAGGTAGTGAAGATACTGTCTGCCGCTGACTCTTCAGTTAATGGCATAAACTGTGGAGATGAAGAAGGTTGGGTACCCCTTCACTCTGCTGCAAGTAGTGGGAATATAGACATTGTGGAGATTTTGCTTAGCCGAGGTCAGACGAAAATGATTTATCTGGTTTTACTTCTTTTTCTCTTAATTGAATCCTCATTTGACCTTCGTATAAAAAGAAAATGTCTTGCTAGTTATCTTCCAACAATATGTGAATTTTATTCCAGAAAGACCTTGGAGCATAATATTTTTTACCTGAGTAGTGAATACTGAATTTGCTTGGATGACGTAGTAAGCAGATTTACATTGTAGCGGGGCTATTTTCTATTTTTGTAGAAGATACAAGAATCAAGTAACTGTAAGTCTGTAAGAACAATAATCATACACATATTACTACCTCAATTCCAAAAAGAGTTTTGTTTTTTTATACTAAAGATGTTTTCACTTGACTGTTTTTTTATACTAAAGATGGTTCAGTCTGGTGTTAGATTGAAACAAGTCAAAGTGAAAGCATCCTAAAAGCAGTACTAAACGCAGAACACTTTTTTGGGGCTGCATGGGGGTGATCTAGTGAGTTATGTGCTTTGGTTTTCTGATATATACTGTATTATTTAGTATATATGTTCATTTCATCTTTCAATTTTAATTCTGTTTAAGATCTAAATGTGGGTTAAGGCTATTAGGTAAAGCCAGGAGCGTCGGCACAAAGATAATTTTGAGATAAATTTGTACACATTTTTTTTACATACAGATTCAAAGCCTTTTCCAAATTTGGAGTGGGCCCCGGCCTTGTATGACCCCTACTTATGCCCTTGGTTATGGTCTTGAAGAATGAAAATCCAATTTTCAATCGGGGGTAGGAGGAATGTCGCTAATGGCTAGTGAAGTACATATGTGTGTATATGTGCCATGTTCTTCACTTCTGAATCTACTTTTGGACATGCAAATTTAAACACTCTGATGAACTGAACAGGAGCTAATGTGAATTTAAAGAATGATGGCGGTCGCACTGCTCTGCACTATGCTGCAAGCAAAGGCCACTTCAAGATAGCTGAAATTCTGATTTCACATGATGCAAAGATCAATGCAAAAGACAAGGCTCGTGCCTTCAAAACCACCACTACTACTACTTATCTGCCTCTTTGAATTGGCATTTAGTGCTGATCAGTTATGTTTATAATTGTTAATAGGTTGGGTGCACCCCATTGCACCGTGCAGCAGGCACAGGGAACTCTGAGTTGTGCGAACTCTTAATTGAGGAGGGAGCAGAAGTGGACGAAGTGGATAGAGAAGGGCAGACTCCTCTCATGACTGCTGTCGTATGCCACAATAAAGATGTGAGTTTGTTTATTAATACAATTTTATCTTCTAAAACCATAACTTTGTCCTTTTAACTCTTTGTTTTTGTTTTGGCCATTGTTCTCTCGAATGAAGCTTTCTGAATCTGGATTTTGTGTGATTTCGTTTAGTGACAAACCAAGTATTTAAAACAAAATAGGCATTGTTATGAAAGAAAGGAAACGAAAAAGTATAGAGTTTTTTCCCGGAATAATGCTAATTAAATAAATAATTCCTAAAATATTGCTGGGTTAAAAATAATTCACAAAATAGGGTTAACCGTGGCTAAGAAAAGCTGTCACTCAAAGTGGCGTCTCTTCTGTTACAGTACAAAAGCCGATGCTTTTCTTGCAGCACAAAAGCTGCCACTCGAAGTGGCGGCTGTTATGCCCAATAATTACCACACCAACTTATTCAACCAAATAAACACATAAACCTGCTCAGTACAATACAATCAACTCAGAAACATCAAACAACTGCTATTTATAGTCAATATTGAGCACTAAAAAACAAAACATATATGAGACACAAAACGGAGTCAATGAATTACATTTGATCACAATACTAGAAATCTCACATAAAGTTGATAATAAATCCAACGTTTCAAAAAATAATTCGATCAGCTAGTTCATGTTTAACACAATAATGTAAAATACAAATATCACAAGTCAACGTGATCATCATCATAATGCTCATGTGGCTGTGCTTGTGCCTGAGGTCGGAGGCATCTGTGCTGGTTACAAAATTGAAGAACCACTCTATCACGTCGTAGTGTCTGGGAAGACCTTGTTGTGGATGTAGATGTCGTGGAATACTGAGAGGCGGCCACATATTCATGGTCTACTCGGCCTAATACATAAGCACACAGTGCAACAATGCCGAGCATACCTCATGATATCCCTGTACATCTACCCCCTCATCAAGTATAACAGTGGCTCTGTCACGGATAGTATGCAAAACCCGCGTCTGTGATGAAAGCATGGTTATTAATGATAAACACATGAATAAATAAATAAATAAAGTCATTCATGTGAATATATTGTGTACCTTCAAATGAAGAACGACTGAGTTGGGCTGATAATGATCAGTGGGTAGACGAAACCTACAGAGACTGTGAGGACCTTGAAGCGGCGTATATATACTATAATATATGCCGCTCTCTCATCCAACATGGTGATATACTGAATATGGTGTATCCCCCAATCTTCGGTGTGCTTCCTTCGTCTGTCGATTTTGTGCAAGTCCACATAAGTATCACAAGGTAACGAAATAACCTGCTGCAACCCGAATTGTCGTAGTACGTGATCAGGAAAGTGATGCTCCACTACATCAAAACAAATCAAGGACACACGTGCTCGCCACATCTCAGTGTGCTCTCGGCCAACAGGAGGTAAATGTCCTAGAATCTCATGAGTGGATGACATCCACGTCATCTATAATACAAAATATTATGACATCATTATTTATAAAAACGTAAAACAAAGCGATTACACTCAATGATATACAGGGTATACATGATCATCACACTTGCCATCTAATGCATCTCGATAGTACCCTAATCCAGAAGCGAATAATGTGCGAGTGACGTCAGCAAAAAGCCATCTAACACACAGTATTGTATAAGAATGTAAAATGGATTCCAGTACGGAATACATAAAATAAAAATAATTAAACAAAATTCATAAACGTATTCATGCCCCAAAGGATGTGGTCCAAGTACAGATGGATCGTGCAAATCCAAAGTACCATGAAGAGGACCATCATCTATCCCATAATATCGCAGTATGACAGGTCTACCAATATGAATGTGCTCCCACTACCATAACTATATGAGCAATAAAAAACCACTCATCTTGCCACCGCTACAATGGCAACCTCAACATAATTGTCGATATAGGTATGTTAAAGTCGCACTTCCCCATAGCGCTGCTACTTTAAAAGTCTCCAGAAGGGGTAAATAAAGAACCTGCACCTCATTACCACTCTTGTCCGCAAATGTAGAGGCTCCCTTAAGCATCAATATATAGGCTGTCGCGTATTGCTGCACAACAATGTCACCATCATCAGCAGGTACAGAAGTGAAATGTTGTTTCAACTAAGGCAACCTCTAAGCGCACCCCCGAATATCTGTCCGAGGCTGTGGCTGTACTCCCAGCAATCTGAGTGCCACATCAACCCATAGTCTACATGCAATCCGTAGATCGGTAGACCTGCCAGTACAGTCACATCTCCCAATGTGAGCGTCACCTCAACCACGGGTAAATGGAAAGTGTGAATCTCCTGTCTCTAACGCTCAAGTAGAGCGATAAGTAATGTTCGATCTAAATGCAGAGTTAAAACTAGCCTGTGAACACCGTAAAATTCAGGTAATCGAACGTAATTTACATTCCTAGGTATTTCACATGCACGTGGACGTCAGGATTGTACATTACGTTCAATTAGCTGGATTTTACGATGTTCACAGGCTAGTTTCGACTCTGCATTTAGATAGAGTGTTACTTACCGCTCCACTTGAACGTTAGAGACTGGAGACTCACACTTTTTCATATACGTGTGGGTGAGGTGACGATCAAATTGGAAGATGTGGTTGTATTGACAGGTCTACCGATCCAGGATCGAGCAATTACTGGGACCTATGTAGACTATGGGTTCATGTAGTACACAGATTGCTGGGAGCACGGTTACAACCTGAGACAGATATTCGAGGGCCCGCCTTAAGGATGCCTTGATTGAGACAACATTTTACTTCTTTACCTGCTGATGACACTGTTGTGCTGCAGCACGCGAGAGCCTACATATTGATGCTTATGCGAGCCTCTACATTTGCGAACAAGAGATGTAATGAGGTGCAGGTTCTTTACCTACCCCTTTTGGAGACTTTTAATGTAATGACACTATATTGTTGGAAAAGTGTGATTTTAGCATACCTATATCGACAGTTGTGTCGAGGTTGTCATTGTAGCGGTGGCGAGATGAGTGGTTTTTTATTGCTCATACAATTATGGTCGTTGGAGCACATTCATATTGGTTGACCTGTCATACTGCAATATGTGGGATAGATAGTGGTCCTCTTCATGCTGCTTTGGATCTGCACGATCGATCTGTATTTGGACTAAATCATGTCCATGGCGAGGACTCTTTGGTCGTAGGTACATTGATGATTTTTTTATTTATGCCGTACTGAAATCCATTTTATATTCTTGTACATTACTGTGTAACATGGCTTTTTTCCGACGTCATCCGCTGCTAGATTATGGTAATATCGAGATGCATTAAATATCATGTTTGATGATCAAGTATACCCTATATATCATTAAGTATAACTGCTTTGTTTTACGTTTTTATAAACAACGATGTCATAATATTTTGTAGTATAGATGATGTGGATGTCATGCACTCATGATTCTAAGACAGTTGCCTTCTATTGGCCGAGAGCACACTGAGATGCGACGAACACGTGTGCCTTTGATTTATTTTGATGTAGTGGAGCATCACTTTCTCGATCGTGTACTACGACAGTTCGGGTTGCATCAGGTTATTCCCTTACCTTGTGATACTTATGTGGACTTACACAAGATCGACAGACGACGAAAGCACACCAAAGATTGGGGGATGCACCATATTCAGTATGTAACCATGTGGGATGAGAGAGCGGCGTATATAGTCGACAGCACCCCATCAATAGTCCCCGCAGTCTCTGTAGGTTTCGTCTACCCACTGATAATTATCAACCCAGCTCAGTCGTTCTTCATTTGACGGTACACAATATATTCACACGAATGACTTTATTTATTCATGCGTTTATCACTAATAACCATGCTTTCATCACAGACAGGGCTTTGCATACTATCCGTGACAGAGCGACTGTTGTATTTGATGAGGGGTAGATGTACAGGGATATCATGACGTATGCTCGGGCATTGCTGCACTGTGTGCTGATGTATTGGGCCGAGTAAACCATGAATATGTGGTCGCCTCTCAGTATTCCACTACATCCACAACAGGGTCTTCCCATGCATTATGACATGAAAGAGTGGTTCTTCGGCCTCGTAACCAGCGCAACGCCCCCGACCTCAGGCATAACCACAGGAGTTTTATGTTGATGATCACGTTGACTTTTGATATTTGTTCTTTACATTATTGTGTTAAACATGAACTAGTTGATCGCATTATTTTTTGAAACATTGAACTTCTTGATCGACTTTGTGCGATATTTCTAGTATTATGATCAAATGTAGTTCATTGACTCCGTTTTGTGTCTGAGATATGTTTTGTTTTTTAGTGCTCTATATTGACTATAAAATAACAGATGTTTGCTATTTCTGAGTTGACCGTACTGTACTAAGGAGGTTGATGTGTTTTTGTTGTTGAATAAGCTGGTGTAGTAATTACTGGGCATAAGAGCACTCACTTCGAGTGGCGGATTTTTTGTTGCAAGAGAAGAGTCGCCACTCTAAGTAGCGGCTTTTGTAATGTACGAGAAGAGCCGTCACTTCGAGTGACGACTTTTCTTAAACACGGTTAACCCAACAGTATTTTGGGAAATTTTTTAAGCCATCGGTATTTTGAGAATTATTTATTTAGTTAGCATTATTCCGAGATAGAACTCTAAGAGTATGCATAGATGTTGAACCTTTAATTGACAGGTAGCTCTGCTTCTTATAAGACATGGAGCAAATGTTGATGTCGAGGACAAGGAAGGCTACACTGTGCTCGGCCGAGCTTCAGATGATATTCGACCTTTGTTAATTGAAGCTGCTAAGACGATGCTTGACGGATGAACTCTGAGAATTACACAGCCTAACTATTATCCGAGCTTCAGCGTGTGAGCTTTTATTAGGCCATAGCCAGCAGATTGTTGTGATGGATCTTGTCCTGAATGTTAGACCACTTTTCCTGCTTTTGCTTACAACTTGTGTCGATCTTTCTATAGTTATGATGCTCTAACATAGGGGTGGACTCGGGTTGGGCCACCCGGCCCGGTACCCGGTCTTGGGGCAGGTTCGGGCCAACCGGAACCGCTCTAATCCCGTTGCGGGCTCGGGCCCCCTAAAATGCGAACCGGCCCGGCCGGTTCGGGCCTTTTTTTTTTCATTTTTTTTTGTTTCTACCAGGTTGGGTTGGGTGTTTTGGCGGGGTTTGGGGGGTGAGGGGGGGGGGGGTCGGGGGTTATTTAGAAAATCAAAAGAAAATAAAAAAAAATAACATTGAACCGGAACCGGCCCGGCCCGGAAATGCCGGCTACTCGGGCCGGTTCCACCATTCCCAAATAAAAGCCCAGCTGGGCCTAGGCCCGAACCGGAACCGGCCCGGCCCAGGTCCATCCCTACTCCAACAGATGGTAGAGAGTGAGCCCTTAAAATATGTAGGGAATTGGACAATGCAATATTTTATCCTGAAGCATCTTTGCCTTGATTGTTGGATGTAGGGGTCGGCGTTGTCAGTTAAGCGCATTTGATCTTGGTGCTCCGGTTTTAATTTAGGCTTTGTTTGCAACCACTTCTGCTTAAATAAAAGCACTTTTGGGTAGTGCTGGACTCGGGCCGGTTCGGGCCCGGCCGGGCCTCGGGCCAGGAAAGGGGAGGCCCGAGCCCGAACCGCCAGTGACCGGTTCCGGTTCCGGTTCCGGGCCAAACCGGGCCGGGTCAAACCGGTCCAATTAATTTTTTTTTGGTTCTCCTATTTAATCCCCTACCCCTCCCCCTCAACTCCAAACCACCCCAAACCACCTCAAATGGCCCAAAATACCTATTCCAACCCATGACTTAAAAAATTTTTCAAAAAAAAAAAAATTAAAATCCGGCCCGGACCGGGCCCGAACCGGCCGGGCCGGTTCACCATATGGAAGGCCCGGGCCCGGAACCGGGAACCACCGGGCCGGTTCGACCCCAACCGCCGGTGGACCGGGCCACCGGGCTGGGCCTGTTGCTACAGTGGCCGGGCCGGGCCGGTTTCGGGTCGGGCCGCCCGGCCTGAGTCCAGGCCTACTTTTGGGGAAAAAGTGATTAATAGTAAAAATTGGTAGTATTTGGTAAAATATGTGCTTTTTGTGTAATAGAAAAAGTAAAAAGTAGATTCTACACTGAAGCCGAGAAAGTAAAAGTTGGTAGTGTTTGGTAAAATAAGTGTTTTTTTCTTAAAAAAAGTTTAAAGCACTTTTTTTAATGGGTTGCAAATAGACCCTTACTATCATTGCATTTGAATATTTGATCTTTTATTTTATTAAAGCGTCATCATAGATTCATAGTCAATCATTTTAGCCATCAACCCTCGTAGCTTCATAATTTTAACAAATTTAGTCTTCAATTTAAACTTTTATCAAGCTAAGTTAGTGTATGAATAAAGACACCAATATTACTTCAGAGTTCAGAGTTTCCATTAGACAACTATATGACTGTTTTCCGCATGGACAATAAAGTGACCATATAATATTGAAATGACCGGAATGCCCCTTACTTATCAGTTATCAATCCCTAAGCCCATCCTCCTGCTTCAACTGTTCTGCTCCATCATCGCATCTCTTGTGCGTTTAAGTCGCATAGTTTGTCGTCGCCAATACCAAGAGCCGCTGTCGTCTGCCGCTTTCTACTGCCATGCACCAATCGTCGTAGTCGCCAACTGCTTCTGTTATCCTTCCTCTTCTTCATTTCTGTCTGATGTAAGGCGAAGAAGATGGTTACGAAGAGGGCCATAGGGGAAGAAGATGGATGCGACTTCCAATCGGTGAAGATTTGCGTCTGTTGCAGCTGGAAGGGTGAGACTAGAGTTTGGGAGGGTTGATTGGGCCCTGTGGTAGTATAGTGAATAGGACTTCTATGCGACGTTAGTTGGATCTGATATTGGGTGACGGGTAGGGTTACAGGCGGCGGTGGCTGGGGTGTGTAGGCGGGGGTGGTGCAAGGGCGGGTGGACCGTGTTTGAAGTGACGACCGACGGGGATTGGTAGGAATGGTGAAAGGGTTGTGTAGTGATAGATCTGGTGTGTCAAGAGGCGACGCTCGTGCAGGGGCGGTGATCTGTAATTGGTGGAGTCGAGGGTGGTGGTGAAATCACCGTAACCGCCGTCGGCAGTGGTCCCCATAACTTCCGCCGGAGTTCTTATGGCCGCCACCTGCTGCCGGCGGTCACTGACTCATTGGTTGAAGATGATGGTTGTGGATGTCGCAGTAGAAATGTCGGCTGCAGTGACATGGACGGAGGCAATGGTGGCAGTGACATGGACGACGGCAGTGGCGGCATACCGATAGTGAAATAGGCAGCGGCAGTTACATCCGATAGTGACATGACAATTGAATAGTGACATCAATATTTTTCCAAATATATTACTACCTCCGTCCCATTAGAAGGTTCTCGTCCACTATTCACATGGTCAACTTAAATCATTTTTAATTTTTTACTTTATATTTCAAATTTTTATCAAATTTACATTTTTTATCAGGTTTTGTAGCGAATTTAATGTAGTTTCTGAATATGTAAATTTATTTTATTTACTAAAAATAATCAGAGTGTGAACAAGCATTAAGTTGCTTTATCGTCAATCAAACATCGTAAACTGTCAACGGAAACCTTCTAACGGGACGGAGGGAGTACCTTTTTAGTCACATTTTTGTCTAAATATATATGTGGTCACATTTTTGGAAATCAGCTTTAGTTTAGTAATATTGAGGGAAAAACTCCCTTTCTAGTTTCTACCCCTAATATAATTAATTAATTGCCCACCATAGTTCTCTTTCATAATTCACTTTTGATGGTGGCGACAACTTGACTGCAAACTTGATGGTGGTCACAACTTGGTTGCAAATTCAAAAATAAAAAGTTCTATTTATGTCATTTTGACGGTATGTCATTTTACACTAGTAACTTCTTTTTTAGGAAAATGATAATATTTTGGTCTTATTAGAGTAAATCTCCCAAGGTAGAGATAATATTTAGAGAGATGTAACTATGTAAGAGCATCTCTAATGGTTGCTTTTAGGGACTTGCTTACAATTTTGAAGAAATTAGTGTATCATTGGAGTGCATCTTTGTTTCCAACTTGGGCAAACAAATTAGCCAAAACAAGCTACTTGCTAGAAATGAGAGAAATTTGAATTAAAATTATAATTACCAAATTTGAATTGATATTGTTTAATTTAGTATATTTACTTTATTTTATTTTATTTTGCTTTGTTGATTTTTAAAAATGTTTGATTTTCTCATGAAATATTAAAAGTTGATATTTTCAGTACGTTTGTGTTGTTAAAATTTCTTATTCCTTATTTTTTACATTACAAACTACATAATTTTGTACTGATTTTGAAATTATTCATTTTCAAATTATGCTCGTTACAATAATAATAATAACAGTGATAATTTATGAGTTTAAAAATATTATTTACCTTTCCCCAATTTAACAATATTTCAAAATAAGTATCATTTTTGTTATATTAATAAATCAATTCATTCAAAATGTATATTTTAAAAACTGATTGATTTGTAGGGCCTATTCAAGAAGTAAGCATTGTAGCTAACCATTGGAGTATGAGACTATGAGAGTATCACATTACTAGAAAATGAACTAACTAAAAAAAAGCTGATGTGACAATCAGAACTATTATGTGTTTAGCTAGATATTGGCCTCGTTTGGATAGCAGCGGTTTGAACAATCCGGTGATTGTTTTGAACTGTAAAACGCTGCAATTTGCAACGGGTAGGCAGGAATACGCCGAAAAACATACGATGCCATTATAGATGCTTTAATAAAAAGTGATTTCTACTTTCTTTAACTCATCAAAGAACATATTGTACGCAACAAGAATTCAACAAGAATTGGATATTTTATTTTTTTTAAAGAAAGTTAGAGAATTAATATGGGAAAATTTTTCTTATAGGAGTAAACATGTTTTGGAATTCCAAAATAAGATTAATATATTTTTTTTAATGCACATAAGCTTTTGCAATTTGTCTGTATATGTTAAGGCTATAGAGAAGTTGGATAATGCTTGGGAGTACTTTATGTTATCGTAAGGTTGTTTTTACTTGGACTGGTTTCAGTCTCAGGTTAGACTTTTATAGTTATAAAATACACAAGATCAACCATTTACCAGACCAGATTAGCCCAGATTTAAACATAATAGATCAGACCAGCACATTTTAGTCCAAGTAAAACATCTTAACATGACAGTATTTACTCCTATTAATGATAGTATTTTCAATCATAACAATAATGACTCCTATTTCAAATCACTGTACTCCTATTTCGAACAATTTCCATTTAATACGAAATATAGGGGAGCTGAGGATTAAGAAAAACGCATTAGGAGTCCCCCAAATTCACACTTCAATATATTTTTATGGTTAATAAGCATATATACTTACATATATACATAAGAGAAATTACCCTAAATAGGACTAAAAGCGTTTATATATTCCAAAATAGGTATGTCATGTTTTTATTCTCAAAATAGGACTAATTACTCTCATGTTTTGGCAGTACCAGACTTTAAAGATGACAGTATTTTCCAAACTTGACAATAATTACTTCTATTTTGAGAATAAAAACATGATAGTCCTATTTTGGAATTTTCAAACTTATTTACTCATATTTCGGGAATTTTCCGTACACATAATACTCCACCTAGGGATGGGCATATCGGTATGGTTTAATCGAATCGAACCATATCAAACCGAAATAAACTGAACCGAAGCCGATACATATATAATTTGATTTGATTTTGGTAGTACTTCTTCCACATCTATTAGAGCGAACCGAATCAAAACCGAGAAAATCAAACAAAACCGAATCGAACTAAAGAAAGTCAATAAAACCTAAATGTATTATTAAAAAATAGCAATTTTGAACCAAAGCAAACTGAATTGAATCAAACTGAAAGATAATATAGAGGCCGTTTGGCAACACTGTTTTTCGGCTTATCAAGCTTATCAGCCAACTTTTTCACCAAACACGTATTTTTCTCTTTCGCGCACTGAATTGTGTAATAAGTAGAAAAAGTAAGGTTGAAGTTACTTTTCTGGCTGTATTGGCTGAAGTTACTGTAGATGACCATTTTAACTATTTTTACATATAATTTTTTCTTTATTTTACAAATATAATATATTTTAAAAATAATTTTTTCCTAAATCAGCAGAATCAGCCAATGCAGCCACTTCAGTCAGAACTTCATAAATTTAAGCAGAATCAGCTAAACCAGCCGATTTTCGTGCTACCAAACGGGCTCATAGTTTTTGTTTGATAATCATTCTCCCAATTTGTTTCAAACCAAACTGAACCAAAAATTGATAAAATCAAACCGAAAATCTAATTATTACCGTCACCAAAATACTTTTGTAACCGAGGTTTTTCTTATAATGAAAATATAAATTCGAACCAAAGGTTTCGTTGTTATAGTTTGCTAAAGACAATAATTCAAGAGTTCTTTTTGTGTGGAATACTGAATACAATGCGTCATTTCAACGCCAAAATAAATCCAAATTCCCAAATAATTACATTTCCCCCCCCAAATAATTACATATTTGGAAGATCCAAGGCTAAAGAGACACCACGTGTAAATTACTCTGATACCCAAACGGGGCACAAGACCGTCATCGAGCAATATATACACGCTCGCACGCGCTCGGTCGCAGTCGATCTCTCTCTTCTGAGTCGTTCGGACTATTTCATTCGCCCACGGCTTCTTTCTCGGAAAACTCGCCGGGTTGAAACTTTGGAGACGGCGGCGACCATGTCGGACGAGGAACACCAGTTCGAGTCTAAGGCCGACGCCGGAGCTTCCAAGACCTACCCTCAGCAGGCTGGTACTATCCGCAAAAACGGTTACATTGTCATTAAAAATCGTCCTTGCAAGGTCTTTCTCTCGCCTTCTTACATACGTGTATTTGTAGGAATTGATAGGTGTATTGGTGCATAAAGTGTTTGATGTTTGTTTATGAATTGTGGATCCGATATTTGAGCTTTTGATTATCTATTTCCTCTGGTAAATTATACTACAAATTTAAGAATCTGATATACAAATTTTTATATACTTACTATTAGGTTGAACTTAATTCTTGTCATGTATCAAAAAATTTGACATGGTATTGGAGCCATTCGCTCCCTGTAAGTCATGCTCCAAAAACTACGGAGTATCATCTTGCTACAGTATGTCATCTTTTATTGGCCTAATAATAAAAACAGATTAAAACATTGGGGGAGACCAAATATGGAGGCAGGCCTGGGAATTTAGGCTCGCCTGGGTCTTGTTTGGATTATGTTTCTACCGGGTTATGTTTGCCGGGGTGATTCTTTTTTGTCTGTTACTTTTGGTATGTGGCAAATACAACATAAAATAAGTGATGAGAATACATAGTCGATCATGATTGGCTTACCGTTGCCCAAGTGAGGATTAGCGTATGATCGAGTAATGTTCGTGCTTGTCTCTTATGTTTGGTTTTGTTGCTGTTTGGTTGGATTATATTATTTAATATAAGTCGTTTTCTCTCAAAAAAAAATGGAGGCCAAACTATTCATACCCTAACCATGCACTAAAAAGACATTAAGGTGCACTAGCCAACCGATGGAATTCAATGCTTTTATGTAGTTTGGTCGAAATTCTTATAGTTTGACTTAACTTGAGTCTTTTTATTGCATATGCATGATTGCATATACATATGAATATGATTATTGCATATGCATAATTGCATATACATATGAATATGATTATATTGACCAACATCTTTTGTAGGGTTCAGTTCGTATCATTTCTGGTCTCACTCTATTTTGTATTTGGCTTTGTATAATTCAATCACAATGTTCTCTCTCCATTCAATAATATTTTCATGGTTTTAGTTCTCTCTTAATATTTCGCGCTTTTGGTAAAGGTAGTGGAAGTATCAACATCCAAGACAGGAAAGCATGGCCATGCTAAATGTCATTTTGTTGCAATTGACATTTTCACTGAAAAGAAGCTCGAGGATATTGTTCCATCTTCACATAACTGTGATGTATGTATGATCTACAGCTTTCTTCTTTAAATATGCAGTTTCCTTCGACTTATTTAGAATCTAATAATGTCTTGATTGAAGGTTCCCCATGTGAACCGCGCAGATTACCAGCTCATTGACATTTCTGAAGATGGATTTGTATGTTCCCAGTTTTCCTTGATAAATTTGCTATTTTCTTTGTTTTTTAATATGGGGTAATATATTAGTGTTGATTGTTGGATAGGTAAGCCTGCTTGATGACAAAGGTAACACTAAGGATGATCTCAGGCTTCCAACTGATGAAGCACTGTGTGCTCAGGTAACACGAAGGATGATCTCTGACTATATTAGCACATACATGGTGATAATATACTGTAGGAGTTTAGGATTCTGAATCATATATAAGAATGAAAGTGACTTTCAACAAGAAAGAACTGGATGACACCCTGTGCTTTACAAATGTCCCAAATTCATGTTTTAGTATTTCACCAAATACAATATCGATTTTCCATCAATGCTGCCCTGACATTTGTGCATATCTTTACCCTGAATGAATTGTGGACAGATAAAGAGCACATTCGAAGCTGGCAAGGACATTATTGTGTCCGTCATGTCTGCCATGGGCGAGGAGCAGATTTGTGGTCTCAAGGATCTCAACAAGTAGATCACTTCAGTGTCACTCTGAAGTTTGAACCTAAATTGTTGAAGACTGTTATACTATTACCTTCATAATATATGAATAAGTCCCCAAAATAGTTTGTGTTTTATAGTTTGGAGTCATGTTGTGATAATGTTGTTCTAGTTGTAAACTTATCGTATTTGGTTACCCCAATCAGAATTCGGTCTGATTGGCTGTTTACTCCAAGCGCAACTGTGAAATTCACAACAAAGCTTTGAAAAGCACTTTTTGGATTTTGTTTTTCTTTTGACTATTGGAGTAGAAAACAGTTGAACTTGAGACTTTGAGCATCATTCCACCTTTGTCCTAAAAAAACTAATACTGCAAACAAGTATAATGACATATGCAGGGCAATTAAAAAAACAAATTACCCCAAAGTTTTCAAAATTCCCCCATATTCTCACCATTTCTCCTAATCTAGACTAAGGCCATATCATGTAGCTCAACCCAAACGGCTTAGGAAAATATTGCATTATGTAATCTCACATTTTCTTTTAGAAGGCTATCCTATTACCAAACGTAATCTTACATTCTTTGAATTGAAAAGCATTTAGGTTGGCATCTTCTATCTTACAAGTCGGATAGCTGTTCCAAGCCAATCGTTGGGAATTTCACCCAAGAGACTCCCATCTAATGCACGGAGTGAATCTTCAGTTCCCACCTACGGAGTAATTGAAAAGAAAATAAAAAGAATAATCCAATTAAGTGAGGGAGGGGCAACTCAGAGAACCGATTACTTGAAAAGAGAAGAAAACGGTATGTGTATCAGTTATGTCAAAGCAATTGGCACCTTTACAATGAATACATCAATTCCCAGTTTTGCAATCATTGCAGCTTCAGATATTTTGGTAACCATACCACCAGTTGTGTCATGGGAAGCTACTGTAAATTCTGATTCCAGTTGAACAATTTCATCTTTGTTACTAGAAAGTCCAAAAAATGGCATCTCTGAGCTAATATATACTCCGCACTACGTATTAACAAAAAATGCCATTTTGACTTTACCGGGCTTGCTTGCACCTAGTAATGCTGGCTTCACCACATACCAGCTCCCGTCTTCGCACACATCTGTAAAAGTTGATTTGTTGTTATTCACCTAAATGTATACTATGGATTATGGATTTTTGTTAAGACATCTCATATTGACTAAATATAAATAACAAATTCACATATAAGATATTATGCTACTCTTATCATTTAGGATAGAACTCCAAGTCTACAAACTCACATTGTGTGCTCTTATTCACCTTGAAGTACCTTATGGGTTATGAACTTTAGTAAATATTGAATCTGAAATTCTGAATGTGATTATATTTGGCCATCATTGTTTCGGTACAAGACTGAATACTTTAAATCTAAACAAAACAAAACAGAACAAAAAACAATGCTCATAACTCAGATATTCTGATTTCTGAGCGCAACAAGTTTGTCTTAATTAGCTTAGAAAGTTTACATCTCACATATAAATAAATTAAAGTCTCTCACCAATTTCTTGAAGAAGAACCGCATCAGGATCTGTAGGTGGGCGGTCATATACGCCACTAACATCTGTCTATAAATTATTTAGAACGTCATCAAGGATAAACATGTAGTACTGATGTCAAAGAACATATTTTCCTCATGAATTTTACTAATGAGGACGAACAGCAAATAATATTCTCGAATTCTAAAAAAATTGAAGGATACAAGGAAAACAACATATTCTGGCTTCAACTTTGCTGCCAAATGGCGTATGATCACATCTCCACTCAATATGGTGCATTCCTGAACATGCATAGAGACATCAATGTCCATACCTTGTCAGCCGACCAATTAATATATCGAGGTCCAAACCTGTGAACTGTCTAGGACTGCATCTCCGTGCAAAACCTAAACATTAGTGAAATTATCTATTAATAATGTATTACTTAAGATATTTGATAGGCAAATCATATTATATGAAATTAGTAAAATGAAAAGCAAGTTTTGCTTATATAATGAGTTCAAAACTTACAGGTATGAAACCAGCATCAATAGCATTAATCACCATTGAGATTTCAGCTTCTTCCATCTGTAGATATGTGTAAGTTCTTTACTCTTGACTAACTAATTCATGGCTAGCTATAACCATCTATTAACAAAAAGAGCATTATACAACTCAAGAAATAATAAAAGATGATCATTTATTTAATGGACACAATGAATCAATGATCTGTAGTTTCCTTCTAACATTTCTTTGACAGGTTGACCACCCGCACGAGAACGGAGACATTCCAATAGAAGGAATACCCTCTGTAAGAAAACACAACTATTAGTAAGAGTGTTCCCCAGTAAGACGTGTATTTTTTAGTTTATTAAGCTGGAAAGTTAGCAGTGGTACCTCTTGCTAAAGCTCTGACAACTTCAAGATTGAGAGACGTAACCTGAAATCATTAGAGAGGCACACAAGAGAAAAGTGAAAGCCAAAACTTTCTACACTCAATGCAAAAGAAGATATATTTGAGATAAAATAATAAATTCTGCAGCTATGCTGTGGTGGGCTCTTAATCCAAGATAGAACATAATAATACAAAACTAATGGTATTATCATAACGTGAAGATCCTAACAAAACATTACCGAAATTCGTGTAGCAACAAAACCAGCCTTGACAATAGGTTTGCTCAACCCACCTTTATGCACGCCAGATTTGCTTGCTTGGAAGTGCCCAAAAGAACCTTAATACACCTCCACCATAAATGAAGGGAAAATGGGAAACTAATGGTATTATCATCGAAGAAACCATTTTCGACTATAAGTGTATTTCCATTTCATAGACTAAGAATGAGGGAAATTCCATAACAGACTAAATGTTAACACATTAATTCAAATTGAATTATCATTATTTTTCTTGAAAAAGTGAGAAGCTCAATTCTAAAAGAAGAATTGTTAACTTTCTTTTAGTACAGAATGAGTCATATTTTTAGCACAAAACCATGAAATGTTTTACTCCTATTTGAATTTTGAAATTCATACAAGAATGAAGAATGTACTAAAGCACAAAACCTGAGGCCACATATTTATTTTCAATAAAGAGTCAACTGACCTGCCCCGTGAACAACAACAAAAGACTTAGAATCAACAACAGGTTGATCACTACAACCGCTTTCAAGAATTGGTGGTTCAGAGAACCCAATCCTTTTACTCCAGTCCATCCCAACAACTCTCGAAGAAGCAGAACCAGACATCAAAGTCTGCCTGAGCTGTGATGAAACGATCATCAGGTTCTCCTTGTGTATGGTTTCTAACTCATTTTTACATGTAATGGCTGCTCCACCTAAGGTTACAGAGAGAGAGAAATGTATCATATATGCTTGATGAACATCCAAAAGATGCAACTGAGTAAGGAAAATTTTATTATTTTACTGTAAAGATTCATACGGAGCCCATATAGGAGTAAATCATTGGCAAAGCGTAATAATAGGAGCGTCTATGTTTTTCCCAAAAATTTTCTAAAGAGAGGTAATATGATCCTTGAGATGTACGAAATTCCTATGCCTATAATGCCCCAAGGACAATGTTTATATTGTAGAAAAAATTACCAGCTACATCTTATCATAAAAACCTCCTATTATTTCGATCACGTCTCATTTTCTTTTATAAAACCGTTTATTTTGGGAGGTTACATCATTATCTTAGTTTCCATGAGTTGTTAGCATTGGGTTAATTAACATGTTCTTTCATAGTGTTAGGATGCCGTTGAACCTTAGATCAGAATGGCATTGATCAATGTATCAGTGATGGAAGTATTAGAATTCCAAGCCAGAAATTAGGTTTCTACACTAGACTCATAGAGTTTTAAGACGAGAGACTTATAATAAAGAGGGCATTTTGAGGACATACACGAGTGACTTTAGTTCAGGTTGTAGGTACTGGTGACTCAGAAATGAGATTATATTACATTACCATGTGTGATAGCTAATGTCATTTTCATCTAGTTAAAATTAGTTATAAATGGCATGACAATGACCCTATAGTGTTGCGTAATACAACTTATATTACGATATCTATATGATCAGAACAGCTTATACAACCCAACTTAGAATATGTTTAGGACACGAGAAAGTGATGCACTTGATATTGAATTTGTAAAGTATGGAATGAATCCAAACCACACCAAAATTACCGAATATGATGTGAGACAACTTAGTAGGATGGATAAAAAAGAAAGATGAGACAAAGCTAGCAGCACAGAGGAAGTACATACTTCATAGCAATATATGTAAGTTGATAACAAGTTAGATGAGCAGAGTGACATAAAAATGGAAATTTGGGACATGACAATAAAGTACGGAGTAATATACTACATATAGATGATGGCAGTAGTAGGATGCCAAATTTTTAAGGTTGTAATATGTGTAGGTTGTAGAATTGTTGGTATTGGCGTCTCACAAATAAGGTTATGTATTGCCATGTAAAATTCATACCATTTTTATCTACATGGTTTAGTTACAAATGTCATGATAATGACACTTATCCAAATTCATCAAAATATTCTTATGTGGTTATAGGCAACTAAAAGAGCTTCAGTTTCAACTATGGTATTATTGCCAATTCAGCTAGTTTTGATCCTAAGAAAAGCTAATTTTTTCTTCTAATATAGATACTTCACTTCTAAGGAATTAACTCATTGATCAAGTGAAAAGTCCACATTTTGTAAAGAATAACATATCCTTTGAATTTTCCCAACGTTAGATCGGGCAAGTAGAACGAGGGATATTACTTCAGTCGAATGAATTTGAATGCATAGAAACAGCTTTAAATATAGTCAGGAATTTGGAGATAATCGATTGTGTAAAGAATCCCAACCGAGTTTGACTATGCAGCGAATGGGTTTGGAATTGTGCTGCTCCATATTGGACCTGTGCTAAGACTATTGAGGTTAGCTGCGAGCTGCTTCAAACTTTCACAGCTCCTTCTGAGCTTCACCTGATCGACAAAATGAGAAAATGGAGGTGTATAAAAGATAAACAAAAGATACTGACTCGAAAACCGATCCAGACCCGACCCAGGAGATGCTAGCCTCCGGGTTCTATTTCCTCATTCCCTTACAAAAAGATTCTATTTTCTTTTAAGGGATACTATCGTATTCTTTAACAAGGTAGACGTTAGGGGTGAGCATGGGACTGTACGAGACGGTTATTTCAAAAAATATGTCCCGTCCCAAAGTATAGTTCTTTTAAAAATTAAGAACCGGTACTGTACCGCATATATATGGAACATGTCCCATTCCGTACCAATTTTCGGTACGGTTCGATACGGTACGCTACGATTCTCCGGTGTTATTTGGTTCCTAAATAATTAACCCCCATGAAATATAATTAACCCTATTTATGTAGCATTCTTTATATCCTTTAGTATTGTTTTTGTTTTAAATCTAACTTATAGTGCTGTCAAGTCTTAATAATTGGATTACGCCCAAAGAATATGCAAGATTTCATATTTGTAATATATGGACATAAGGTCACTGACATTTGTACTCAGTAACATGTTATATATAATATATTATTATATTATCACACTAGTTTTCGGGACATATGGTCACTAACATTTATACTTGGTAATATATTATGTATAATATATTATTATAAGGGAAATTCTATGGTGCACCTTTAAATTTTGCATGTATGGTACACTTTCTTATGTAGGCAAATAAAACAATGCCACATGGACATTAAATTCATATATATTTTAATTATTTTCCATGTGGTACAATATTATTGGTCCCCCTATGGTACAATCAAATTAAGGGGTGCACCATAGAACTCCCCTTATTATAATATAACACTAGTTTTCGGGACAATTCGAGACGGTACGGGACGGTTCGGGACAATACGGTTCCGGGACGGTTCCGGAACGGTTCTCACTAAGAACCGGTACCATACCATATTAATAAAAAAACTCGGTACGGTACGGTTTTACATTTTTCCGGTTCTATCGGTTCTTTTGGTACAGAACGAGAATTCCCAGATCCGCGCTCAGCCCTAGTACACGTTCCTTAAATTAGGTACATCTTCTTAAAGTCAATCAATTAAAATAGAAAATAAAAATTAATCCATTAAAAAGATATGCGAGGAATTTAAAGAAAAAATTATCTTTACCGCCATTCAAACTGGAAAATTTAAATCGAAAAAAAGAATATTACTCCGTATATTATTGGTTGCTCGTATTAGAAAGGCTCAAGTTATTCTATTCCACATTATCATCATTTTTTATGATCTCTTGCTTCTTCCGTAACACTTTCTACTTAAAATAATCGATTTGTGGTTTTAGTTATTTTTGTGGTGATTTGTACAAAATCTTAGTTATGTTGTTTTTACTATTTTTCATCTTATGTTAGCGTTGGTCGAATTGGGTAAAGTTCTAAAAACCGGTCAAAATTAGAAAGTGTTTTCCATTGTTTACAAAAAGCATATTTAAGTTTTTAGCTTTAAATATAAAAGAAAGTTCAAAAAATGTTTCAAACCACTTCCTTTACCAAATTAGATACCAAGTACTTTGAAGTTAAAACCTAGAAGCGGGTGGATCGGTACTTTTAAGTGTTCTTTTCACTTTTTATATTACGAGTTAGTTTGGATGACAGCGTGTTAGGCTAAAACGTTATTTTCTTTACACTACAAACGCTGTTAACTGCAGCGTGTAGGGCTAAAAACGTCAAAAACCAAAACAGGTTACAACTTTTACTTTTTCAAAACCATTTTAATCGTTTTCTCTACTACTATCAACTTTTATTATTAATGATTTTCCTTATAAAATCTAAAACTAGTCACTCCTCTAAAAGTAAAAATCAACCCAACCACTCACTTCTTCTAAGACTGACCGCAATCCAGGGTTGAATAAAGCAATTTTAAGCTATTCAGTCCTAAAATCAGTGCAATCCATGTACTCCCTCCGTAACTTAAAAATCTTCCCACTTTCCTTTTTCGTCCGTAACAAAAAAATCTTCTCATTTCTAAATCTTCCCATCATACCCTCAATAATTTCTAAAATAATACACTATTACAACTACTTTTTTTGGATTTATCCTACATTCCACCACATTATTCCACAATTTTCCCATCATACCCTCAATAATTCATATCATCTTTCACTATTCTTAATCTACCTACTTTTGAAATGGGAAGATTTCAAAGTTACGGGGGGAGTATTTTGGAGGGGCAAAGTGATATATCGCACCGGGTGGAGTGGGAATTTGGCAGGCACATTCACCCTGACATTAGCTCTGCACATTGTACGAACTACGAATAAAAAAACTTGTGATTGGCTGTAGCAAGGAATAAGTAGTGGGCCCATCTAAATTTTAAATACCAATTTTTTTTGAAGTGTAATAACTTTTTTATTCATACTTCAATATATACAAAAAATATATGATGATTTATTATTTTTTATTATCTTTCATATGACACCAATATCACATATATAAAAAATTATAAAAAAAAAGATATAGTTTCAACTACTTGAGTTGAATAAAAAATTCCAAATTTATGTGTTTTTGCATCGAAATGTTTGACCTTTAAATAATAATTATTTGGAAAATAAATTGAAAAAAATCGAAGCATAGTTATAAAAGTAATATTTTGATTAAAAAAATCGTTGGGTGAATATATTGACGGTGCTGGATTGCAGTAAAAACTGAATTGATTGCGTGAATACGTATTATTTGGTGGGGAATCTGATTTATTGACGGATCTGGATGGTGGTCAGCCTAAATGTAGAGTCCAACACGAAATTAAATCCGGTTATAATGTTGCTGCATTATAATGACTTTTGATAAGTGGGACTCATTGGAGGACATTGTTGCCAACACTTTGCAACGTACATCTTACTGTCCGACCACCACAAATTGACTCCACATCATTTCTTGTTATCATCTCTTTATTAGATACCCTTTTCACTAAACAATTAACATTTGATTTCGCGTGGTGAATTGTATAATAATCAAAATAAGAAATGTTACTTTTCAAGCTGCATCAATTAAAGTTACTGTATATGACAATTTTAGCTATGTTTTCATATAATTTTTTATTCATTTTATTAAGAATAAATAATTCAAATATAACATTTTCATAAACCAGTAGAATCAACTAATTCAATCACTTCACAAGAATTTCATAAACTTCAGCAAAGATCGGCCAATTCAGACAATTTCAATATTATCAAACAGGCTATAAATTGATTCTGCGGTAATTGTTATATTGTTCATGTCTTCATTTTATCATTTCCTTATGTTTGAATAACAATTATAATATTTAATTTGGTCCTTTGACAAAATTAGTACTTCAGTGTGTAGTAGAATTTATCATTGAAGTACTAAATTGTATTCTCTCCTTGTGTTTATATATATAATAACCTAGTTCTGGGTACACTTGTATTGTAGGACAGGCCTCTCTATTACTCCTCATTATGGTTGAGGATCATGTAACCTTCATTATCATTTCTTGAGCTCACAATACACATAAAATCTTGATTGAGCATTTGAGATGCATTTTCTTTACTTTGAGAATGCACTTCCGTGGAGTAATTTTTTGTTTTAACATATAGTTTGAAACCGCACCTTTATAACTTAAAATTGTAAAGTTATTTTGAGTTCTTCTTCCCATTTTCTCGTTATTAACGTTTAATGCGACTACGTTAAATGTATCAATGATATTTATAATTGGGTAATATAAATTCAGATTTGACATGAACTTTTCCTTATTTTATTCGAAGTTTTTATTGTTTAACTTTAGAATCTTCATGTGTTGAAAATTGCTTCAATGAAATAAATGTACGTTCTAGCACAACATAGGAGTACAATATAATAGCATTTCACCATTGCACATTTGCACTTAAAGATGGAATTACCCACTGGCTCGAAAACATTGTGAGATTTCAACATTTATTACATAGCTCGACAGTTTTACTCCCACTCCACGTCATTATCGAATAGGAGCATAGGACTAAAGAAAATGTGACCAATATAATGATACAATTATTTTATTAATCACCTCCTGGGGCTCCTCCAATGAATTTCTAGTGGGTTGATAAAAATATATGCAACTATTAATAAACTTATTTACCCCCAATTTACTATACATATACGGGTGCAAATAGAGGTATCTGGCCATTATTTACAAAATCTATTCTGTTCAGTCGAATGTTGCACAATACTTTCTCGGGCAGCTCCTCTGGCTTCTGTGCCTATCATTTCCAAGCAAATAATAATAATGAGAACAGAAAATAAAAACTGCCAGGTTTTCACCTTTCTTATAATAACTTCATAGAACAAATACTGTTACCCCCAGATATAAAAGTGAGTCATGCTATTATAAGTTCTTGAATTAGAGAATTAAGGATTATTTTAGTGAGTCGTGTATTGACGGTATTGTTATAAGGTCTTGAATTAGATAAACTATATGCATTAGTTAGAACTCAGGATTGGATATGGTCACTCAACTAGAAGATTGAATGTAGCTACTGTTAGGAATTTAACTCACAAACACGAAGTACAATTAAAGAAAATTTGGTAACCCAGTTCGCCACAGAGGACTACGTCTGGGGGCGCTACGAAGCCAGGAATGTTATTAATATTTTCTGGATGCAGATTACAAGAGAGGAGAGTGGTATTTATAGAGATGCGGTGTCTTGTTCCCAAAGCAACATAACCCCTAATTAAATTAGGATGTGTTTCCAAAAATAAATTAAAAAACGTGTTTCCAAGAATAAATTAAGAAACTGTTTCTAACACCTTATAGCTACTTGAACTCAAAGGCCATGTTTGGCACACAAAAGCCTCTGCCTTCTAGCTTCTCTTTTCTTTAAAAAGACCTTAAAAGACTCTAGTTGTATGTTTGGCATGACATTTTTTTAAGAGCTTTTCAAAAATTAAAAGATCTTTTTTGAGATGCTACCGGGTGTAGCATCTGAGAAAAGCTCGTGACTTTTAGTATTAATTAGTCCTAACAGCTTGTATACCAAACCGAACTAAATCAAACAGTCAGCTTTTTACCAAACAGCTATCACCTTTTCTTTTTAAGATCTTTTCAGTCACTAAAAGCTAACAGTTACTAAAAAGCTCA